AGCTGCCCGAGGCGGGGGGGGGGGGGGGGGGGGGGGGGGGGGGGGCTCAGTCCTGGCTGAACCGTGGGACCCAGTGCCCAGGTTGGTCAGCTTGAAGGAGGCCCTGACATCACATTTTAAAAGCTTTCCTGATATTTATGTGCATCAGGGCGGAGAGCCAGTTAGGCAAGGTGAGAATCCGCATGTTTCCTACATTTCCCATATTTCCACACCTTGGAAATCGAAGTCACCTTCCAGCATCGCCAAGCTAGCACTTGTGTGGAGGAGACTCGGCTCTCTGGCCTCTGGAGCACTGCCCTGTGTCTAGGACTGCAGACAGAAAAATTGGTGGGTCTGTGAAGTGGCCAGGGCTGCATCGCCCCCTAGTGGAGGCCATCTACCAGGCGCTGCAGGGAGCATGATGAACACTTTCTCACTTTGTTAGTCTCCAGCTGCTGGAGACCCGGAGGTATGGAGGCTATACCTCTTCTTCCATAAACAGCGACCTTTTTGTCCCAGAGAATAGTATCCATCCTAAAGTGGTAGCTGCATTCCCCAACACAGCCTTGTTGATGTATGAACAGCAGGTACAGTAGGGAGGGCCACATCTGCAGTAGGTCCTACTAAGAGGAACTAGGGTGTTATTCAGAATTTGCCAGGTAGGAAGGGCTCAGAGGGCTCCAGGACTTCCCACGGCTGTCTTACCTTAGCAGGACGGTCCTCTAGAGCTCTCCCAGGCACCTGCTTCCACTTTAGAATCATCAAATCTGGATGGGACCTCTGGATCCCTCCGCCCATGACGGTGCCCTGGGTGACTGCCTATGGGAGACCAGAGGCTGGAGGGCTGGGTCTGGTCTTCTGAATTCTGACCACCAACCAAAGAGGGAAGACATCACACGCAAGATCTGAAAACAAAGAAGGGGAATCAAGGACAAAGAAGGGTTTGTCCAAATGGGGATCCTGGCTAGAGTCACCATGACCCAGATGGCATCGGGCTTCTGAGGTCTGAGGTGTTCTCTGAGTCTCATTATCTGACTGACTTCAGCCCTCCACCGCTATAGCCTCTGTGATTCCAGTCTTTGAAACTTAATGTCTGTTCCTAAATCAGGCTTTTTAAGTGGGTCTTAAAAGACCCACGGTTTCTTCCCTCTGCCTGTGTTAAATACATACTCAGCTCTGACATTTGCTGCTCAGCCCACGTTAAGCGCTGCACAAAGGCCAAGGCCCTGTGGGAAAGAGCTCTTCTCTTCCGAAATGCCTGCTGGAGTCTGCCTTTCCTCTGATTTCACTTGGATAGTGCTGTGGGCGGTGCTGTGGGCAGTGACGGTGTGTGTGCTGTGTGCCTGAGTTCTTATCTTCCCTGGAAGAAGCAAGTGCCTGCTGTGTGCCAGGAGCTCGACAGGTGTCTCTCGGAGCCTTCACCCAGCAGATGTGAATGAACATGCTTAGCATGCGCTGTGCGTGGCCCGCAGGCTCCTGACAATGATACTATGTGAAGTACTGTT